CCTGCAAATCTGGCCTCCCGGCAATGGCAAATAGAGCACCGGTGCCTACCAACCAATAACTGGTTGATAGACAGAACCACCCTTGAACAGAGAGGACTTGCCCTCCCTTGGTGTAAATTATGCTCCAGCACATTCCCATCAAGGAAGAAACCAGAAACAATAGAACAAATATTTTTACAATGCCCCCGAGCAGTCTGGTTCTGGCAATGGTGGGATAGAATCTCGTATCAGCTTGGAACAGGGTCACCCTGGCCATGGGATTGGAAAGCCCTGCTGTTTGAAATATGTTTTTAAGTCTCAAAAAATTCCTGAAAGTCGTGACCGCATCCAACCGCGACTGGAGCTGCGGACAGCCGGCCACCACAATCACGCCCGCCCGCCGAGTTTGACCCTCGGGCCGTGCCAGTGGTTGCGGGTGATACATAGTTGGGGAGTGTTGGGTGTCAAACATCTGCCTGTGGGCATGATGGTGTTGATTCCCCCTCCTTTCCCCCAACCCTCACGGATCCCTGTTCTAGAAGTGAGCGCAGGGGATCGTCGTTGACTTTACCCTCTCTCCCCTCTTGCACACAAGTGTCACATGCCGGTTTGTCCCTCGTTCATTTGGGCTGATCGTCGACAACCAGGGTGACAGGGACATCGGACGTGGGCGTTTGGTCGACTCGCCCGATCGTTTTGCTACCCGGTCATAGCCGTTTTGTCCAAGTGATAATTTAATGACATTGTGTCCGTTTTTATTTTTATTTTTTGGACAAATGCTCCAGTCTATTCATCACAAATAATTCGTGGGGAGCAGCATATGCTGGGAACCGGGCCCAACGTCCCATATAAAGTTATACAAGGCATTTGAGATATCGGGGTCATTACCCGACTTCGGTTGAGAATCAATCTAAGAACTATTGAAGAAATTCAAGAGATTTAAAGGAGAGGGTAAAAAAACTATGAATGACTACTGACCTCTTTTCGAATGYTCAGAACCCCTAGACTACCAAACAAAACTCTTTGAAATTGTCCAACAATGTCTTATTCCYTGTCGACCTCTCCTAGGCCGCACACCCCCACCCGATTAGGTTACAGAGCAATACGGCTCGCCRCAGCTCCGACCAACGTCGTCYCAACAGCTACCCCTGGTTGTCCCTTGGAATGCCCACCCCAAAGCATCCCCAGATCTCTCTACTAGGCCTCGCGCTCCTGCAATCAGCAGGTTACAGGGCAACAACCCAGCACCGGCCAACATCATTCTGGCATCGAACAACCGCAGATCCATGAGTGTATCAGTATCAAACAGCCTAAAGCGAGTTGCTAGAAGTCCACATAATCCTAAAACATTCTCCTTTTTACCAAATCAATGTAATTTGAGGTAAATTTGAGAGACTATCCACCAATGAAAATCACTGCAATTGTCTCCAAACAGTCTAAAGCGCCAGAGGGTCCTAACACCCTCGAAGTCCTCAGGCGCTCTCTTATTCYCTACCAAGCTCTACCAAACCTCTCACCCCCGCTATAGTTTACARAGCAAAGCAACTCACCCTGKCTCCGACSAGCATCRTCTTCGATAGGAACCCTTGATTGTCATGTGAAATGCCCCCCCTAGGCATTCCCAAATCTCTTTACCAGGCCTCAARCTTCTGTTGTCAACAAGTTATAGCATCAACACCCCAACACCGACCAACGTCGTTCCGACATCGAACAACCGCAAGTCCATGAATAAAACAACATAAAAAATCGCCTCGAGGAAATTACAAGGAGTCCCAAGAGCCTAAAAGCGTTCTACCACAACCACTGAGAACAATCACAACCTTTAGAGGATAGCGGCGATAGCCATATCCGAACACATCGCACGTTGTTGTTTTTTTAAAACGAGATAGGACATGAGTGACACACAACAAAATTGAAAGCAAAAAATCCGAACCGAAACCACCGACAAGCAAACTTCCAATGCAACAATTGGAAAAACAAAGTCTCCGTGATCAGTCCTCGAACCTAAACGCGGTTGGTCTCATAACCCCCTGTGCTATGATTACAGGGTACCACCATGCCCCGATACCGACCATCTTGGTATAGACGGCAAGGAGTGCCTTCCTCCCTCGACAACTCCCATTAGCCGCACGCCCATAGGTGACAGCGATAAAACCCCAGCAACGACTGCGTCGAACGTGATGGTTCTGCCTTCCTCCCTCGATAGAGCTCCCCAAGCCTCACGCTCCCCCAGGTTACAGAGCAACACTCCAGCACCGGTCTGCGTCGTTCCAACCACGTCCTTCTAACATGTTTACGAAAACCAAGGACCTTCCCCTGTTACACCCCCCTACGAACTTCCCACCCGTCCGTGCAGGTAGTATGAAAATAGAATTTGCCCAAAAATGAGTACCTAAACCAATCATCATATCTTTGGCCAAATATCCTACAAAAAGCTGGATTGGATGTCAACCTGTGGAAGCACCCTATGTAACTATTGGACAAATTGCATCAGTTTTTTTTTTCTTATAGTCAAGGAGACTATAACAACCCTACTCAGGCTCGCCAACGCAATCATACTCTCAACCTGAGTCTGCCAAGCCTCACACCCCCACCGCTAGGTTACAGGGCAACACAACTCACCCCAACTCCGACCGACATCCTCCAAGTAGCAACCCTTGATTATTCCGTGAGCTGCCCACCCCTAAGCATCCCCAGATCTCTCTACCAGGCCTCATGCTCCTGCTTCGCAGATTACAGGGCAACACCCCAGCACCGACCAGCATCGTTCTGGCATCGAAAAACCGCAGATCCGCAATTATGACAGCAACGGACACACCTAAGAAGATTTGCTACCAGTCTCCAATGACAAAAGCCTTGTGAGGAAACACTAATTGGAACATTGAAAATCACGTTTAAGTTTGGGAGTTTAAAACAACATCATCAAAGTAACCAAGGTCATTAGATAGGCATAATTCATCACGAGTCGTGACAAATTAGAAAATCGAATCATGACAATTTAGAAAATCGAATCATGACAAATTAGAAAATCGAATCATGACAAATTAAGAAAACCTATATGAAATATTATTAGCATTTACGAATAGGACTTTCGATCATTTTTTTTAAGATCAACATCAGATGTCCAAAAGGACTTACGACTCCGATTTCCAAAACCCCCAGGTTCAAAAAACGCTCAGACGATAAATCGGGAAATACTAGGCAGAAAACAATTCGACAATCAATTGTGTATGAGAGAAGCATAACGATTCTAAAACTAGATCGCGAAATCAACAAGAAAAAATACGAACTATTGATTGAGATCAACTAAGAACTCATAATTGCCATCCATAAATTTTCTAAGAAACTCCCATATCAGGAAAAAGAAAATAAGACATAAAACCCAAGCACAAAAAAAAAAGGTCATGCCTCAAGAGTTACTGGAGATTCCATCGCTGCGTGAAGTCACCTTGAAACACATGAAGTCTCAGTCCGTGCAATCCATCACGTAGCGCTCCACTCTCGCAGTCCCTTGATCCAGCTGCCCCGCCGCTGTAGAGTCCAAACTCAGCCCCTGCCTCTTCCTGAAGGAGGGACACGTTCGCCTCCCCATAGCCCATGCTAATATAGCCCATCGGCAAGCTGCACTGACCATAAGAGATTTGGTAGGACACAATCAGCTCCTTATCACAGCCCAGATGTGATTGCGCTGTGAGTAACCACGTCAAGCCTGTTGACGCGACCACATAGAAAGTTCAGTCCCTGCCCAACGATCTGGAGGCCACTAAATCAAGGAGAGACAGTCTGAGAGTGAAAAGGGCAAGTATAGGAAATCCCCCACCATCGAGCCCCCACTCAACCCACCCACCTTCTCCTCGGCACAATCCCCATTCCACTCCACTGCAACGGACAACCTGCTATCGCACGTCCCCCTTCTACCTTGCCTCCACGAAATCTCCAACACACGCCATCGCACACCATCACCGTTTTACGCCCATCACACTACTTCGCACAGCTCTGTTCACATTTCGCTCCGCGCTCGCCTCGCAACGCCGTGCTGCGCCGTGCGCCCGCGATTCTAGTATCGGACGGGGCGCAGCGCTTCCGGCCGTGCTGTGCCCCGCCACGACGTTGTGCCCCACCACGACGTTGTGCCCCTGACTCCCTGAACTTGGATATTTGGTAAAGTGGGAGAGAGCAGGGTAAGGTTCGTTGAGATTTGTATGGATTCTAGATTCACTATGCTGAACGTGAGCGTGGGCGACTGCCCGTGCTCCACCTTCACCTCGATCCACCTTAAAGTAGAACACGACGTCGAAGGCTCCATCTATTGGCGGGGAGCTACACCTACTAGAAATCGGGTCGAGCGTCCCTATACAATGATGAGAATGTATCTGCTGGAAATCGGGTCCAGCATCCTTGTATAGTGATGTGAATATATCTGTGAATGTATCTGCTGGAAACCGGGTCCAGCGTCCCAATGCAGGGTTGTGTTAACAACTCCATCTACCTATGTATGCACATTTAAGCAATATATGTCAGAATCGAAACCCTAACGAAGATGTGATATATGTATAATGTTTGTGATGTATGTGTGGTGATGTATGCGTACAATATCTATCAAAACCTAAACACGAATCTCAAAAAATGATGTGATGTGTATGGTCTTTGCCAATCAAAGCATAAGCCCAAATGACTATCAATTATGTAATATGTATGTTCCGGACATCGAATCCCAATACCTATTATCCAAAGGAGAGCAGGGGCATTGATTACTTCCCGGCGCAAGGGAAGGATTGACCACCTGCAAACTACTCCCTAAACAACACACCTCCCTCCCACGGGGCAGTCTGCACCCCATTGTTGATTGATATTGCGGGCCGCGCAACATCAATCATCATCGATTGTCCTACTCGTATCCTCAACCAGGCAACGAGGTTAAAGGAGAGGGAAGGGGGGGGAGGATGATAACACCAATCAACATCGACTAACCTACTCCTATCCTCAGACAGACAACGAGGTTGAAAGGGGGGAAGGAGGGGAAGATGGTCAGCTTTTTATCTATGTCAACCCCAATCCCCACCACGTCAGCATACAACCTCTCACCCTTCCGCCTGATGCTCTCTGCCCCGCTGCTGCCATGGTAATTGTTGTCGTCGTCATCGATGCTGTTGCCCTCATCGTTATTGTTGTTGTTGTCATCCCCAATCCCCACCACGTCTGCTTGCGGCATCTCTCCCAGCATGCTAATGATGATAWGAGATGTGTCGTAGTCAACCCTGCTGCTACCGAGGACAACCCCAGTCCCCTCCACGTCTGCTCACGGCAACTCCCCAATTCCSCTGATGAAAAACTCAGATGCGCGGACATCRCTCTCCACCCCRCCGCTGCCATGGTCATCGCAGCCATTGTTGTTGTTGKTGTTGGTGTTGGTGTTGGTGTTATTGTTGTTGTTGTTGTTTTCGCTCTCCACCCCGCTGCTGTCGTGGTCGTCGCAGCCGTTGTTGTTGTTGTTTGGCCCGTTGTTGCCGTAGTCATCRCTGYTGTCGTCGCCGTCCTTGTTGTTGATCTTGTTGTTATTGTTGTTGGTGTCGTTGATGCCGTTGATGCCGTTGATGTCGATGTACTTGATATTGTTGTTGTTGTTGTTGCCCTTGGTGTTGTCAGTGTTGTCTCTGCAATTGTCTTCGTCTTCATCCAATCCGCCCTCCACCCATTCATCCATGTCTCCCTTGTCGCCCATCTCGTGCATACCCTGCCGGGCCTCTAGCTGGTTGCGAAGATTGCAGCCCATTATAAAGAGGGAATTACAAACACCCATCCTATCATTCACCCTTCTCCAGTTGATGTAGGCCTCAAGCCGGGGATCCGGYCCCTCCTCCAGCTCCCACATGACGTCTAGCATCTCCTGGATCCTGTCTGCTAACCACTGCTCCRAGATCGCCCCCCCATCGATCTCCGCCCCCTCCTGCCGCAGCATGATCATCCCCACTATCGTTCGCAGCTGCTTCAAGTTGCATCCCTCGTCCAATGTGATAAGCCATTCCTCAGCTCTATGTTGTAACTCCCCCACCGAATCCATCTCTCGCCCAACCACCTGCGCCAGTGGCATGAAACGAAGCCTGCCACCCCCACTCGCGTGCCAGCAGGCCACACGTGCGTCCTCGGCAGCTCACGCACGCCCACCAGCCATGGTTGCAAGCATTACTAGAGGCCTGCGCCCATTCAGCCACCGACRCCTGCTTAAACCGCCATGGACGATCGCACAACCTGCCAGCTGCACGCCTTGCCCGCCAACCGCGACCACGGGCTCCCCCGGAGGCGCACACCCACAACAACATCAGCAGACGTGACGCGCGCGCATGAGCA